AGCTAAACTACAAAACAAACAAAAATAAACAAAAGTAAGAACATGTATAAATGTTTCTATTTTTACATGTTCTGTTTCAATGTGGTCCTTTAATTGCTTATTTTTTAGATTCAGAGAAGTTCCAAACATTCAAAATTTTACTGTAATCTCATCTACTCTACGACCCCCACTTAAATTTGTAAAAAACATAAGTGGGGGTAACCAAACTCGTCTGGCCCTGTTATCCACTCCCTGATTCTGAAATGTCGTAGACCAACAACGTCAGGCGTAGATAACTGGGCCATACAGGTTTTTTGTTAAAGTGGGGGTAGAATGCGATAAATCGCATGATGTATGGTCTCTCTAAAATTCTCTTATTTTTAACATGGGAAATCGTCACTTCAGCAAATTCACATGTCATTTATTTATGTTCCAAAATTCACCCTATGCAGACAGAGCCTGTGGGAAATATTGGGTGCGGAGCAAATGAGCGGAGGGTGCGGAGCTAACGGTCATTTTTGAATTTAAATTTGGGATATTTCTGAAACTAAGCCGTTTTGGGACTTCAAATATACCAAGATATGTGTATTTGACACCAAATATCAATACAATTGTGAAAATAGTAGCGCAATTCATTTTGTAGCGACGCAGTGTGCCTTAAACCTTTCCCAGACCTATATATTTTGAAATTATCCTTTTAATACTGAGTCCCCAGCATTCATAAAAAATGGTGTTCAAGGTTCACTATCTATACAAATTATTTTTGCATCTTGGAAGCCAGGCAGTATCTGTGTGCTTTTATAAAAATTCGGAAATGTTTTTCAGATATGAGCCCCCTCTAAATATTGGGTGCGGAGGAGCTCCATAAACGTACCTCCGCACCCAATATTTAGAGGGGGCTCATATCTGAAGAACATTTCCGAATTTTTATAAAATCACACAGATACTGCCTGGCTTCCAAGATGCAAAAATAATTTGCATGGGTAGTGTATCTTGAACACCATTTTTATGAATGCTGGGGACGCAGTATTAAAAGTATAGTCTCAAAATATATAGGTCTGGGAAATGTTTAAGGCATACTGCGTCGCTATAAAATGAATTGCACTACTATTTTCACAATTTTATTGATATTTGGTGTCAAATACACATATCTTGGTATATTTGAAGTCCCAAAACGGCTTAGTTTCAGAAATATCCCAATTTTAAATTCAAAAATGACCGTTAGCTCCGCACCCTCCGCTCATTTGCGCCGCACCCAATATTTCCCACAGGCTCTGTCTGCATAGGGTGAAATTTATTTAGGCTAGTATTAATATGTATATAACATATGCCTGGCAAAATTTTGTGAATTTAATTTAAAATCAAACATTATCCATTATGATTTAGGTTCGCCTTTGACAGTTTTTGATGTGGAAATGTGTCTGTTATTAAGCATATTAAGCATACACCCTTTACCAATTTACGGAGACTGAAAGGTGAACTTCAACCTTCCTTGAAACTGTATGATTATCAGGCCCGTAGCCAGGGGGGTTCGCAGGGTTCGGGCGAACCCCCCCTGGCCAAAAATTCTTTCAAAATCATGCAGTTTTCACCATTTTGAGCATTTCTCAAGTGATTTTGTCCATATTTGGGCCAAAATTGTCAAATGTGAACCCCCCTGGAAATTTTGGAAAAATGAACCCCCCTTGGCAAATCCTGGCTACGGGCCTGATTATTGATATTTATATTTTTAATCGAAATGGTGTTTGTTATAAGCACACGCCTTTTAACAATTGATAGAGACTGAAAAGTGTATTTCATCTTCAGCAAATCTGAAATTAAGCTTTGTTTTTATTGATCGAATTCAATGAAAGTTAATTTCTTTTAAGTTAACTTTTATCAGCCTTTAAAAAAACTACTATTGTCATCTGTTTTTCCATCTTAGTGTACAATAGTTCTCTACTCTGTTTTCAGAAGTAGGAGATGAACCAGATTTTTGTAGCTTTCATCCATGATAACCCTGAGACCTTGTTGGTTGTGTTTAGATGATGGTGTTTCATACTAATCAGGTATATTATTTCATCGTTTGATTTAATTAACTTGCATCATTTGTGGCTCCTTGCTTCAGAAAGTATTCATTTGTATTTATGCAGTTATTATTTAACTTTCACAGTTTCACAGCAAATGAGATACTGTAAATTGCTTTAATTTGGTGCTATTTAATTTGGCACCCTGTGCAAATTTTAAAAGTATGACTGCTATATAATTAAGTTCTTTTAAAAGGTTTGAACTTAATCCTGATTGACACAATGTTAAAACATCTCAGTAGATTTACTCATCATATTCACCATTTAAAGGTCTTATCTTAATCAATACAATTTGAAATAAAAGTATAAAATAAAGTAACAGTCTTTTAAAGTACTACTATTGTCCTCTATTTTCCCATCTACCTATTCTGTTTTCAGGATTGTTGTAGCCTTCACCCATGATAACCCTGAGATGATTTTGGCTGTGTTGAGATGAGTGGTGTTATGCTAATCAGGTAGGCCTATATTATTTCTAGAGGTGTCACACTGACCCGAAGTTGACCTGCCATATTTTATCTCAGAAAGTTAAGAGTCATTCTCAGGTATATACTTTCCTACCGTTCCAACATTTCAAATTATTATCCAATAGAATATTTTAATAAATAGATCTCTAGTTAGATCATTGGATGAAGATTATGAGAGTCAACGAAGGAATGTTTTGGCTATATGATTCTACTGTAGAAATACAAAAGGATAGTACAAAAAGCTACTAGGGATCTATAAACAGATGAGCATAGGGATTGTTTTACCCCAGAGTAGTCCCAAAAAGTCTCCTGAGACAAAGATCAGATCTGGTGGAAGAAAGATTACACCCTCAGGTGCATTTTCAGATAACCAACTAATAAAATGTTTGTACTACAAGTCTCTAAAATATTTCAGACAAACTAGCAGTACAAGCAGAATGGAACATTTGACAGTTTGGAAGTTAGGCAGTCTAGAGTCCTCTGAGCTTGGGGAGTTGCGAGGAAAGTGACTTCGGTAAGTCCAGGTTAATCTATTATTCATTATAGAAGTATTTTATATATATTAAGTTTACAGCAGAATCAAATCTAGCAAGATCCTTGTCATTCTATTCTAAAAATATAAAGTGCAGACTTACTACTAGAGTATTTTACCAAAGAATTTTACAATTATGTATTTTAATTTATATATATGGCTTCCATATTTATATTTGGAAGAATTTAAAAAATTTCCAGATTTTCGCACTTTTAATCCTCAATAACTTACTGATTTACAACACATTGTAGACCTTTGAGACATATTGTATCTGAGATTGTAAAGAATAGATCGCTAGCTCAATTTTGGTTGAAAATGACACTGCAAAATATACAGAGTGGGTATGGGTATACAGGTTACATTTCATACTTTTCAATAGATTGATTTTTTCCAGGAAAATGTCCAAAAACAAGCAGAAATGGCAATGTGTTAAACATGCAACCAGGGAAACAACGACTGAGCTGTACAAGTCATTTGAAAAAACATTTGGAAAGTGATGAGGACCAATGAGAGCTCATGCTTTCTAGGAAAAATGAACACTTAGCATAAACAATATCTGTTCCGAGAAGCGAGCCAGTTTGAATTAAATTTTTATCTCTGTAACAAGTAACGGGACAGTACTTTTAAGATTGCATAGATATAATGGCTCCATATCTGAAACATGCAATTTTTCTAGAGGTAAAGATTAAAAGGTGGATTGGATCGAGTGGATTGGATTCATGTAAAAGGTGGATTGGATTGGCTACCTTCAAAATATGGATTTTCCCTTAAAAATTCTATTGATCACCCTTTAGGAAGACTGGTGTTCTCTTCACTTGCACAATGTCAAATAATAGATGTAATATTATCTTGCTTGGGTGGGCTAGAAGGATGACCTGGTACCCGCTTTCTGATACACGATCTTATTCATTCCAAGTGTAATTTGAGAGATTTCATAAATCATAAGGCAGACTGGTTTGAAGATCCATATCATCTGTTTTCAATCCAAACTGAACAAACCAGAAATGTTTTATGAACATTCACACATCAATTTGAATGACAGGTTTTCTTTTTCTAAAGATCTATGTCTTACAAAAGTTGATTTACAAGGGAAAGCGGTTAAATACTTAAGAGTGTCCATGAACTAATTGGAGTATGTATTTGTCATTGCTTTGTTCTGATTTCTCAAAATGGACCTGTAATACTGTAGAGGGAAATTGTTTAGAGGGAGATCAACAGGAATTTTTTTTCATAAGAAATTCCACATTTTGAAGATTCCCGATCCAATCCACCTTTTACATGAATCCAATCTACTCGATCCAATCCACCTTTTAATCTCTACCTTTCTAGATTTATTCCCAACTTAAAATGGTCATTATTGCTTTTTGAAAATCAATACCATGTTAACTAATAGAGCATTTGTTCGAGCTCAAATTAGAATATTTATTCATTCCCGTTCAGAAAAATAACAATATAACCCCTAAACAGTTAGGCTATAGATAATTACATTCATAGTAAAGGGGGTGAATAAATCTGCCGAGATCTGGGCACAATCTCGGAAATGAAATATCGAAATATCATCAAAGGTTAATCCCATACTTAGTAGTGTTATAGGTAAATAACATGCAGGAATATAATTGATATCTGAGTTTAGCGGGAGATATATAACGGTTATGTACTGGGAGGTTTTGGATACGCCCGGTTTATTTTAGCAAATTGATTTTTTTGCGAAACTATAGCGATCGCTAACAACCGCTAACAATTACCCCTCGCTAACAATACCCGTTTTACAGTACTTAAGATACGCATTTCTTTGTGTTATAAAATGTTTTTTTAAGTTTCTGAGATTATCAAACTCATATAACTCATATTTTGAAAAATAAAATTTGAAAAAATGTGAAATTTTTTTTTAAAAAAATGTGAAAAAATTGAAAAAAAATTGAAAAAATTGTGAAAAAAAATTTCAGGAGCGGGACCAGGATGGATGCAGCGTGTATCCATCCCGGGCCTTGGCTAGATACAGTATATATTCCCGCTCGTTATGTACCTAGAACCTCAGTAGGTATGGAATACATATATATATATCATCCGCTCATCAGCAATCACTGGGAATTTCTTTTCAGTGCTTATTTGAATTCCTGGGATATACTTTGGTTATCTTTGATAAATATTAATTTCATACACTATAAAATGTTAAAAGCTGTTGAGGCCTTTAAATAAAATATTCATGTTTTGATTGTAATTATCGTTTGAATTACTACATTAGAGTTCCCTAACATTCAATGCATATTTAATTCTCATAATCTACTAAGTAAAGGATAAATCAGTTATTAAGTGCTCGATTTTTGATACAGTGTATATCCCTCAGTAAATACAATATATCAACCTACGGTCCCTCAGGTAGATATATTGTATTTCCCTCAGATATACCCTCTATCAAAAATCTCCCATTAAATAACTTATATATATAGGTATCATTGGAAAGGTAACAAGTATTCAACTCCCAGTATTTTGAGTTTTCTTATAACTATATTGAGCCATTATTAATGAAGAAATTCATATTTTAAAAACATGGGGGTTTATCATTTCTAAGGGGGGGGGGTTAGTCACAATTTATTAGTTAAAATATGCCTAATTCAATTTTAAGACAAGCCAGAACGGCAAATCTCCCCACCCCCTTAACCGTTTAGGGGTTAATAAAATACTTAATAAAACTTATTAACGATAGGATAGATTTTTTTGATAGATGACATACGAGACTGTGATTATATTTAAGTTCAATTCTGTGTGTCAATATTCTCTATTTGGATGCTCAAAAAATTTCTTGTGTATTAACTCATTAATTATTGGAAAAACAATATACATTTGTCAATAAGTCAAAGCATAAGTTAGTTGTGTTTTACCTTCACATGTGAAAATGTTAGGCTTAGTGTGTTATATATAATTTTACTGAACATCGGTGTCTACATCTTCCTGTACAGGAACTTTAAATTAGCTATATGTTCATGTAATGATTCATTTAACTGGAAGTTAGTCACTACTATCACTATATCTTGTTGATGTCATAATTAAGGTTACTAGAATATCCTTGCATGTGTTGTCCTAACTTGATGTAACCAGAAGTTATGAATTTGCCATGTATGTGACAAGCACGTTATAGTCTCTTTATTTTGGCAAAGTCGTTGTTAAGGTTGGTACTACATTCCTGGCTCGTGATATCTAAGTCGATCGTAACTTGTATACTCATTTATGCGTGTCCACACTTTCCTTTGCCTACAACGTTCTATAATTAATGTAACCAGAACTTTAACTTGGCCACGTATATGTGACGTTGCATAAGCACGTTACAGTCTGTCATTTTATTTTTGCAGTCATTGTTAAGGTTGCTACTACATTCCTAGCACATGTTATTTAAGTAAAATGTAACGTTGTATAAACATCTGTGCAAGTCCAGACCTTCCTGTGCCTACATCGTTCCAAGATAAACGTTACCAGAACTTTAAACTGGCCAGGTATATGTTACGTTGCATAAGCACATTACAGTCTCACTATTTTTGCGAATTCATTGTTAAGGTTGGTTCTACATTCCTGGCACGTGATATTTAAGTCAAATGTAACGTTCTTTGAACATCTGTGCGAGTCCACACCTTCCTGTACCTACAACGTTCCATAATTAACGTACCAGAACTTAAAACTGGCCACGTATATGTGACGTTGCATAAGCACATTACAGTCTCGTTATTTTTGCGAAGTTATCGTTTAGGTTGGTTCTACGTTCCTGGCACGTGATATTTAAGTCAAATGTAACGTTCTTTGAACATCTGTGCGAGTCCACACCTTCCTGTACCTACAACGTTCCATAATTAACGTACCAGAACTTTAAACCGGCCACGTATATGTGACGTTGCATAAGCACATTACAGTCTCGTTATTTTTGCGAAGTTATCGTTTAGGTTGGTTCTACGTTCCTGGCACGTGATATTTAAGTCAAATGTAACGTTCTTTGAACATCTGTGCGAGTCCACACCTTCCTGTACCTACAACGTTCCATAATTAACGTACCAGAACTTAAAACTGGCCACGTATATGTGACGTTGCATAAGCACATTACAGTCTCGTTATTTTTGCTAAGTTATCGTTTAGGTTGGTTCTACGTTCCTGGCACGTGATATTTAAGTCAAATGTAACGTTCTTTAAACATCTGTGCGAGTCCACACCTTCCTGTACCTACAACGTTCCATATCAACGTTACCAGAAATTTAGATTGGCCACGTATTTATGACGTAATGTAAGTACGTTACATTTTCGTTATTTTGGTGACGTAATTGTTAAGGTCGCTACTACGTTCCTGACACGTGATATTTAAGTCAAATGTAACGTTCTTTAAACATCTATGCGAGTCCACACCTTCCTGTACCTACAACGTTCCATATCAACGTTACCAGAAATTTAGATTGGCCACGTATTTATGACGTAATGTAAGTACGTTACATTTTCGTTATTTTGGTGACGTAATTGTTAAGGTCGCCACTACGTTCCTGACACGTGATATTTAAGTCAAATGTAACGTTCTTTAAACATCTATGCGAGTCCACACCTTCCTGTACCTACAACGTTCCATATCAACGTTACCAGAAATTTAGATTGGCCACGTATATATGACGTAATGTAAGTACGTTACAGTTTCGTTATTTTGGCAACGTAATTGTTAAGGTCGCTACTACGTTCCTGACAAGTGATATTTAAGTCAAATGTAACGTTCTTTAAACATCTGTGCGAGTCCACACCTTCCTGTACCTACAACGTTCCATATCAACGTTACTAGAAATTTAGATTGGCCACGTATATATGACGTAATGTAAGTACGTTACATTTTCGTTATTTTGGTGACGTAATTGTAAAGGTCGCTACTACGTTCCTGACACGTGATATTTAAGTCAAATGTAACGTTCTTTAAACATCTATGCGAGTCCACACCTTCCTGTACCTACAACGTTCCATATCAACGTTACCAGAAATTTAGATTGGCCACGTATTTATGACGTAATGTAAGTACGTTACATTTTCGTTATTTTGGTGACGTAATTGTTAAGGTCGCTACTACGTTCCTGACACGTGATATTTAAGTCAAATGTAACGTTCTTTAAACATCTGTGCGAGTCCACACATTCCTGTACCTACAACGTTCCATATCAACGTTACCAGAAATTTAGATTGGCCACGTATTTATGACGTAATGTAAGTACGTTACATTTTCGTTATTTTGGTGACGTAATTGTTAAGGTCGCTACTACGTTCCTGACACGTGATATTTAAGTCGAATGTAACGTTCTTTAAACATCTATGCGAGTCCACACCTTCCTGTACCTACAACGTTCCATATCAACGTTACCAGAAATTTAGATTGGCCACGTATATATGACGTAATGTAAGTACGTTACAGTTTCGTTATTTTGGCAACGTAATTGTTAAGGTCGCTACTACGTTCCTGACACGTGATATTTAAGTCAAATGTAACGTTCTTTAAACATCTGTGCGAGTCCACACCTTCCTGTACCTACAACGTTCCATATCAACGTTACCAGAAATTTAGATTGGCCACGTATATATGACGTAATGTAAGTACGTTACAGTTTCGTTATTTTGGCGACGTAATTCTTAAGGTCGCTACTACGTTCCTGACACGTGATATTTAAGTCAAATGTAACGTTCTTTAAACATCTGTGCTAGTCCACACCTTCCTGTACCTACAACGTTCCATATTAACGTTGCTACAACTTGAGACATATATTCTGACGACGTTATCACAACGTAAAATTGTTAGCTGGGAATGCCCCCCCCCCTATTGCAACATTTTTTCAATTAATAGTATTAGCTCGGAGCACACGTTTGATTGAAATAATTCAAATCAAAGTTCAAAATGAATAAAGATAATGAAGGTTCTGTTTGACATTCGAGAACAAGAATTTGTCCAGTCAAAAATAGATTTCTAATATTTGATCTTGATTCGATGTATTTATTGATCCTTGTTTTTAAAACTACAGATGGTTCACTCAATTCTGAAGTAAACAAAAAATAATCCTATACACGATTACTTGGTTCCCACGATACTGCCTATAAGCTATAATACTCATTTATCAAAACAAATATTAATTAATACGTCCGTCTGATTACATTTTGTTCCCTTGCTCAAACTAAGCAAACCCCGATTACAGTTCTTAATTCTTCACTTGAAACGATTTAGCCAACATGATACAATATTAAATTTGATTAATTATACACGTATAAAGCCTAGTGTTATCAAAACCCATAAATGCTCACAATATAAATATAGTTTATTGTTATAACACAATAACAGATATCAGGGGCGTAGCCTACTTTCAGTCAGGGGGGGAGTGTGATTGCCAAAAATATTTCGGTTTTCAGTCGGGGGGGGGGGGGGGGGGTGATTGTGACATAAACAAGCCAAAAATGATTTTTATTTTGAATTTTACAAAAACTGGATGCAAGTTCCTTCCAAAGTGAGCTAGAAGCTTCAAATAAAAAGCATTTAAAAGCTCTTTGAGTCCTCTTTCTCAGGGTTTTTTATCTTTATTGGTTTTCCCAACCCCCCCCCCCCCTCCTCCTTGGCTACGCCTATGGATATTTAGAAAGTTTCAAATCAATAACTCGGCAACCAACCACGCAAGTAACCAACCAAGCAACCAAGCAAACGACCATCCAAGCAAGCAGGAAACTAAGCAAGTAAAAAAGCAAACCATGCAACTTACAAATAAAGCAAGTGAACTACCGACAAACCAACCAAGCAAGTAGCTAATTAAACTCTAATGCAAGAAACCAAGGAAGCACCTAAGCAACAAAGAAAGAATGTTAACAAGTAAACGGCTAATCAAGCAATCAATCGTGCTAATAAACAAGCAAACAAACAATCTACCATCCGAGCAACTAATTAACATAATTCAATAAGATTAAAATGTAACCTTGCGCACATTTGCTCTACGGTAATAATGAGTAATATAGAACTATCATATTGATTGCATTTATTAAACACAGAAATGAAACACATTGGAGCATACATGTAGTTAAATGATTGGGTATGGGAGGGGGTAGTGAACACACGGGATACTGAATTCTTCCTCTTAAACTTAATTTTCAGTGCTTGAATGAAGGCTTCCCTTTAACAGATTTAGGGAGTTTCACTACTAGTTTCATTGAGATTGAAGTTTTTCAATTGCCTTTGTTATAACATCTTATTTCAATACACTGGATATTATGTAAAAGCATTGATGTGTATTTCTTATTCCCGACAATCGAATTTCATATCAAACATTTTAATTATAGTTTTACAGTGGTATCGCAACATTATTGCTTCTATAAATGCAACACATTTACCAGAATTTGGATTGGACTTTCTACATGATGATAAAATATTTTATTGGTGATATTCTTTAATTACTACTAATTAGTATAAACTATTGATTGAATTGCAGAAAGCTGCTGCATTATAATTGCTAATGAAAAATCTCGAATCCTGGTAATTGAAGTTAAATAAAATCTAACATTAAATGAAATTCTAAAAATGTGTTTCTTTTATTTTTTGTTTAGTTGATAATGAATTAAAAAAAAGATATTTGAATGAAAAATTCAATTTCGCAAAAACTCATATTCTTTAGCTGGACAAAAGCTATAGTTTGTTTATTCAACGGATAATAATTGGAAGCGCTAGACACATAAATGGCAGACGGTTCTTAATTGCTAATGAAAACAAAGCGATAATCAGTTGGGGGAATAATCACTTGACATAATAATCAGTTGGAATTTTTGCCATTGGCTACACATTAATAAGAATTGATTATCGTAATAACCAGTGAAAACACTGGTTATTTTTGATTAATAAGTCTCGATAATCAGCGATAACCAGCAATAATAGTCTCGATAATAGGTTTTAACCAGATAATAATCATTTATTCACTGATTATTTGTGATTAAAATTGTTTATATTTGGTCACTTCGCCCAGTGTATTTAATGATCGTATCAGACGAAAAGTCTTGAAATGATGCCACTGGATTTAAATTGTAGACATTGACGAATGTGCTAGTGACCCCTGTCTAAACGAAGCCTACTGTACAGATAGAATTGACAAGTATAACTGCACATGCAAATATGGGTTCATCGGTCATAGATGTGAGCAATGTAAGTGCGCTAACTACAGAGAATCAAAATGTCAGGTTTATTAATTTCGTGAAAAATAAAAATTGACTAATGTATCATACAATATAGATAATATAAATAATTGCAAATCGAAATCTTCATACATATGGTCGACTTAACCTTTCCCATACGCGGCACATTAATGAGGCAAGAAGTAAAATTTGACCATTATAAAAACAGAAAAAGTAGATGTATACATCAACTTTTTTACGGGTGTAACTTCGGTATTGAAATTATCATGTTTTATTTCGAAACAGCTTTGACCTGTCCGTTAACGTATTGTTAAACATGTATGTATTTTCAGACGATCTTTATCAACGGTCCATTTGGGCTATGCTTTTCTTCTTGATCGCCATAACATTGTTGCTTATCATTTTCTTGGATGTATGGATGTGTGTCCTTTGGGGAAAACTTAAACTTGGTGTAAAGTGGATCCAAACAAATACAAGGTATTATGAATTGATTTGAATAAACATTGATTTAAGGAAAGGACGATTTCGGTTTTGAAAACCTAAGTCATCTGCATATTTTGTTACCAATGTCGCCAAAGATTTTCATGTTTTTGGTACGAATCATGAAAATGCCATAGGGGGGTTCGATCATATTTTTTTATGAAAAAATTGAAAATATGATCATCATTAAAACGAAAATATCGAAAGACATTAAAATCTATATGTAAAAATATGACATTTTTTAGTGATATTGGCAGATGAATTTTGTCTTTTAAAATCGTCATTGGTTGGTTCTCCAAACAGAAAATCGTCATTGGTTTGGTTCTCCAAACCGAAAATCGTCCTTTACGTTGCTGTCACATTTTGTGGAACCAAATAAATAAGGCTCAATAATATTAATTTCTGTTCAGCATGCTATTAAAATAGACAATCTTTTAGATTTAAAAGTTTGTGCATGTCCCCCACACACACATTGTGAAATAGGCTGCCTTTCCTACTCGAGGAGCAACTTGTGAGTCAACATCCCCAATATTGAGCCATAATAGCTGTTCAAATATAGTCTTGATTCTGATTACCAAAGAAACGCACTTCGACGGAAGACCTTACTCCCCGGAAGAAGTTATATTTCAAAACTCACCCCCCCCCCTGGGATATAATCTGAAAAAATCCCAGACCCACCCCATGTGTTCTCACAGAAACCTTTGAATGTCGCATTGGTTTTTTTCTCTATCCATTGTAAATGCTTATTGAAAATGTTTACACGCAGGGAAACCCCGGATGTACATGTATATCGCCCAATGGATAAAAATATCAAAGAAACTACTACCGATTTATCTAATCATCAGGCTGATGAACTGCTCAAAGATATATCACAACTATTTCAAATAGTTGAAGAACGTGTGGCATTGCAGCACAATATGATGATGACAAGTCATGGTAACTAACAAAATAATAACGAAATGCCCATTCTAAAAATCGACCTTTTAAATTTTGATATCCCACGCCATCACTTTTATACATTGTTTAGATGTCTCCTGTCAATATGAGCTGTAAATCACATGCACATCCTTAAATGTTACTAAACAGATGTTTAAAGCTAAAGTTGCGGTATCAATCTAAACTATTGTATGGGCCGATCGGGGATATTACATCATTTTAAATTGTGTTTTGTACATACCAAAAGTACCGATATGTATTCGTCGTACATTAAGGTTAATAAATGTTTTGAACCATACTATCACTCGGTACTAACTTCGACCTTTCGATTTTTTGACCTTCCATACTGCGTCGTTTTTTCAAACTAGTTCCATTTAAAGCATAACAAAAATGTCTTTCTGTTGAACATTATTCTATTATACAGAATCACTTCTTCCAGCGGCATTTTGGTCCCCAGCTGTGAGAAGGGCTTCTAACAACCGGGGAGCAAAACGCTGCTAAAACGAGGGACTCTTTACAATAAAGCAATGCACCGACAGAAAGGAAATTTTGTTTTGCTTTGTATGGAACAAGTTTGAAGAAATATGGTGCAGTATGAACGCGTAATCCTTGATTTTCAAACATCTGGTAGGGTAAAAATTCAAATTAATGGCCTAGTCACATAGCCCGGCCGATGTCCGGCATCGGTAGAGCTCGGTGGATTTTTTTGGTGCCACCGAGCTCTCCTCATCGGAAGCAGAGCTCGGTGACGTGAACGGACTCCGTCCGGACATCTTCAGGCGACCGACCGAACACCGGCCGGTGACCGTACGGAGTCCGTCTCAAAATGGTAGTTTTTTTCTGCCGATGTGGCAGCAACTACCGGCCGGAGGTCGGCCGGACATCGGAAGGAATAAGGCCGATACCCGAGCAGGTAACAGGACACCGTGCGATCGCCGGCCGGGTTGTTAACGGGCTTTGAACAGTGACCGGCCGATGCTCTGTCCCACATCGGCCGGAGCTCGGTCGGAGCTCGGCCGCTGTCCGTTAAAAAACCTCGTCCTCTGGTTGTCTCAGATGCACGGGACACCGGCCGATACTCGGCCGTGCACCGGCCGACGTGTTTTCCGATGTGGTTACGATGGGGCTGCGATGACATGATGAGGGAGCTCGGTGAGAGCCCGGTGAAATTTAACTCCGATGTTAAAATTTCACCGAGCTACCACCGATGCGGTTTTAAGCAACAAACGCCACGGATGTCCGGCCGGTGTCCGGCCGGTGTTCGGCCGAGTTCGGTGAAAATTGTATCGCTGGCTCATCGTAACCTCATCGGCCGGGCTATGTGACTAGGCCATAACGGTCGAAATTAGTAGTGCTGCCTTGACTCTATAAAAGTGAAAAAAGAAAATTACACTTTTCACGTTATACGTAAAACAAATTTATATTTCAGACAATCGTGAAGATAAAACTCAGAATGACGTTATGGGACTTATTGATGAAATAGAAAATCGCCTACGAGTATATAGGACAACGTTAACACAGAGTGGGGAGACATCATTAATCTATTAAAATAACATGAATTGAAACAGATATTATTTCTCGCTGGGTACCAGCCTTAAACACCAGCATCCTGAAATTCTTCTACTGGATCACGTACTGAGTCTTGTAATACATGGCTGTTCATTTCTTAAATTGTAATAAATATTGACTACAATCCAATTGAGCTATCCAATGGGAATTGAAGGTTTGCCTCTTTTGATGCGTATAATAGTTTTTGTTCCGAAACAGCTATAGCCCCCGTATGTGTGATTGAAGAAACAGGGAAAATATTTTTGATTTAATACATAGTTTTGTTTATTTTTGTCCATATCAAAGTGCTATATACAATGCACAAATATTTTTTTATTTCAAGTATCAATTCATAATTATATTAGTCATTTCATGTTTTAAAATTGAGCTTCACACAGATGGGCACCAATAGTGACCTATTCCCCTTATGACCTGGATGTGTACGCACTACTGTAAACGCCAAGAATATTGAATAAATTGTCATAAAATTAGTTGATTAAACAATATGGGCCCCTCAGGTATGAGTACGCCCTGTATTTAATATCGATTGAATGGAAGAAAATACTACAGGGCTGTATTTTTGTATGCCCGCGGTGCTAGTGAATTGCGTAATATTTTAAAAGATTTTTCGCGCTAGGTATCACCAAAAAGAACGATAAGCCCTTAGTGCAATTATATGCTCATATGTTCTCGATAAAAATAGTTCATCTAAGCGCACTTGCAATCACACCATTATTTTGAAAGACATCAATCACGGTTATTTCAATCGAACTGCTGTGGTGCACTAGCAACTGGGCTACGCGGTTGACACACGTGGTTAGCCGACAAGATCGACATATCCTAATTAGCGGTGTAGGTGCGCTTGAATGCGCTGTTTTTGTTGAAAACATGTGAACATGTAATTTGCAACACATGGGCTCATTGGTCTTTTTCATGATACCTATGACAGTATGGGGAAAACTTATTATGCAATAATCGTGCTCTGCGGTCAGTTCAGAAATGCAGTCCAAAAGAAGTATATCGTAAAGCAAAACGATAATGTACACATACTGCTTTAAAAGATATACGAATTTTAAATACCTTTATTCTAAAATCACGCGCTTATTTGGAGTTATAATAATAATCATCAAACGGACCAGTTTTGTCAGAATTAATCTTTCCGAAATGGTGGTAGGCATTATACAACGTAGACATCTGGTCACTTTTTTCAATCTTTCCTGCGGCAAGAGCGACTCCAGGCATGGACAATGACCTATCAGCGCCCAATCCTGGCATCTGGCCTTCTCCTGCGACTGTGTCTAAGAAACCAAACGCTGCACCAATTGGAGAAAACAACTTCTGAGAAAGACTGTCATCTCCTCTTGAAATTATAATTGCCTAAAATGGGAATCTTTTTTAAAAATCCAACAACTCATGTGCAAATTCTTTAAACGTAGGACTTCAACCTAAGTAATGAAGCAAATGTAGTTTTACTTTTTTCTGTTTGATTTGTTTTATTTATTACAAATACCTTAGCTCAAAAGCCAAAAGAAAATGACCAAAAGTTGTGATGGAACCTAGCAGGAACACGAAAAAAACAAACTATTGGCGTTTACCAGTCATAAGAAAAATACATGCTATATACTGTATATTTCAAAACCATTATCTAACGTGAAAGTATTCTTCTTACTACACGCATGAATCACACTTTCTTCATTTTACGATACATAATATATACTGCAAATAAATCATTACCTTTGGAACAAAAACCAGTAATGTAGTCAAATAAGTTGTAAGCAATATCAGACTTCCAACGATGATGAACTGGGCATTTGGTTCAGTTGGTAAGAGGAGCGAAATAACAACCAGTACAATGCTGACCAAAAAACTGGTGAATACAGCTATACCAAATCCAGAGAAGTGATGAAATCCCTTCTTCACTGACATAAACCTGGAATGAGTAATTTTTAAATTTTTTAGTTCAGGTCATTATTTGCGTTTATTTCTGAATAGAAATATCACATTTGAACCAGTTAAATAATGTTCAAAAAATATTCATCGTAGTATTTTATGTTTTACTAAACAAATATTTATGAGAGGTTCGAATGCCTAGCTAAAATTGTTTTCATGTTTAACATTTTGATGCGTCTCGATACAGGATAATACGTTTACTTACAATGCTGGCCAAACTATGAAACCACCCAACAACAACACAACTGCCTTGTAACAAAATATGGCTATGAGAAAGTACGTTTTATACACCGATTCACATCCAATCATTACCGTTATTGTTCTGACAGATGTGTCATCGTTAAGCTGGAATAACGCAATATGGGAAAATTAACGATAATTGATATTTTCAAATATGGTCAAATTCTGTTATTCTACCAAACCCTGCAGCATGTGTGTTAATGTCAACGACATTTAATCAGTGGTACTTTATTGTCAACACAACTGGTTCTCATGACCATGCGATATAAACATGTGCTCCGTTGATTTCCAACTTGTTCAAAAGCATGTTTGCTACCAGCCCTCAAAATAGGATTGTTTAATATTTCATTCTCATATAAAGAATGCGTTTTAGTATGTCAATATTATAAGAAGGGCACGGTAGCCAATTGTGTTGATACCAACCAAAATAGTACACATTTAATGTTGTTGATATTAACACAGATGGCGCAAAGATGATGGTAGAATAACAGAATTTGACTATATTAAAAAATATAAATCATTGTACATTTACCCATATATAAAAAGGCATACAAAACATGTGACACTCTTTTCAAATTCTAAAGGAAATGTTCACTACTTTCAAGAACTAATTTCGGGATAAACATAAACAAGGTGTAGTTAAAATTGAAGCCCAATTTATGTCAAAATAAATTATATACGGTCGATTTTAGATAAAGGGTTTAGTTCGATGGTTTGTGTTTCCAACGCCTCCAAGTACAAAACTAAATTAAAGTATATACATGGCACTAACATTTGATTCTAGTTCTCTAGACACTGGATACAATGGATCCATGACAAACCAAATGCAAACTACTATGACATCAGCGACAATGAGCATGAAGAAAATGAATACCAACCATCCTTCCTTTATCACTTTCTGAAATAAATAGCATTACTTATTAATCAACCACCACAATGAACAAAACAATTTCCAAGACAGAGCAAATATGTATATTTATCTAATTCCCCGTGCTCAGTCGATACATATTCAAAAGGATTCCGTCGTCGAAAAGAGCAATAAGAGTGGCCCCTGCTATTTTCGAATCACAAATGTGTCGAGGCTTCAACGAATTCGTTAACGGAAACAATTTGATGATTTGATAGTAACATGTTCATGTTTTATCTGAAATTCTTTCAATTCTAAAATACTATAAAATAAATAGAGATTGTCCTTTATGAGTATCATGATTTTGGGATTATCCCGAGGCCAATAATATATCTGCCCGAGGGCCATAGAGGGTGGATATATTATATTGGGCAAGGGATAATTATAGGATATCCTATGATTTTGAGAAATATCATTTTTATCGACAAGATGATATTGATATCTACACGAGAGAGCAAAGCGAACGAGTGCATATATCAATATCACCGAGTAGATACCATACCATGCTTATCACACTCGATTCCCTGGTTGAATCTTACCTTTTTGCTCTGGCTGAAAAACTTGTAGATTCCCCATAACTTTAAAGTCATCCCTCCATACACTAATGTGAATCCAAATATGAGAAGCCCAGTAGTTGCCTTTGATAAAACAAAGATGTATAACTTTTTTCGATATTAAGAAAATTTGATGTAACTTTGTTCTCCTATGTATTGTAATAATAACTTCAGGAAAAATGAAATGTCGGGGCTCTACGTTTGACATAAATACAGGATCGTGAGAGGATAATTCCACTTCATAGTAAACTACAAAGTAACATATTTGGAATGAAATAACAATCAATCTAGACAAGATTCAGAATCCCTGAATATACAAATTGAGATTATTTCTTTCTTACTTTACACAAATCTCCAAGCAAGGGCTCTGGATGTACACCAGTTTGTAGGTCAGCTATGTGAATCAAGACATAAGTGTCAAGTATGATACAACCAAAGACTATCACGTAGGTCATTATCCGCCATTCGTCTTTTATCATACTAAGAATGTATTATAATTAACAATCGTTTCATTAGTTTCAATAGAATAAGAGTGACCTTGGGTGAATTCCTGGTTGTATAATATTGCAATCAGTTATTTGAAATAGCGTGTTCGGATTATAGACTATTAGCTGAAATCGGACACACCTTTTCTCGCTATGTATGAATACCATCCGACGTGTTCATCTGCATATGAATTAATTTTACAGATCATAGCCATACACGGATATATGGCATCCCCCTTCTACATTTTGTATGGCAACGTTAGCTATATAGTTAAATTTAAAAATAATCATCATCACCAAAATATAAGTATAATTACATATGATTCCGATGTACAATTGCGTATAGAACGTAAATTAACGCTAGTAATATCCCAAAGCCAGCAAATACAGAGAGCACAATAATGGTAGTCTTACTAATGCGTTTTCGTTCGTATTGCTTTATTTCCTCATCCAATGGTGCAGCTCCGCCTACAAATATTCATATGAGAAATATAGCTTGATTCGTGAATGCAACTTTCGGCTGTCGGCTACGGGATTTATATATTATTATATTTTATTCGCGAAGTGAATCGTTCCTACCACTATAAAAGTGAATCGTTCCTACCACTAAAATACAAGCATGGGGACCCTTTGGTCTGATTGTATTTAAGAAATAGTAAACAGAATATTAAATGAAATACCTTTTGATTTCCACACGACATCATCGGGCTTTGTTACTATGTTGCTATTTTGCTTATCAAAGTAACCAATATAAGTCAACCGTCCATTTGCTAAAAACATGAAAAAGTGTCATATAACATTTCGCTTTCTCGTGGACACAATATTTTTTATTCCGTCACACGAATTCTAATTCTCATTGGTCACTGGCGGTTCTGGGGGGGGGGGGCTGCCCCCCAGATCATTTGGTCATTAATAGGTCTTGTAAGGCCTTATTTTCGAATTTCAGGCCAAATTTTGGAGAAAATGGGCCTCAAAAGGAGTGGTATCGATATGGAGAACTGAATTCAACAATGTTTTTCTCTTAAACCAATCATTGAAAACATTCTGTAAAAAACACGGTATTCTGTGTAATGTTGACTGATTGGCAACAATTTAATGCGAAATTTATTTAGGAATATTTTATATAACTGTTTTTGTTAACATTTTTTGTTTTTTTAGTGCCAATGCTTTTGCTCCTTTCGACAAATTCTTGAGAATGAAATAAAATGTCTTTCCGAACCTTATTGGAACAAAATAGCATATACAACATGTTTTTAGACCTCTCAATATTATAGTTATACAAAGGAATTTTTGGTTGATTTTAAATAAGTATTCAAAAAATTAAAACAAAATCCCCCCAAAATAGATAAAAATCAAGATAAACCTTTTATTCCATTAACAAGATAATGTTTTAAAATCAACCACAATTTTCTTTGTACAATTACAATATCGAGAGACCTGAACATATTGTGTTTATGTCGTTTTTTGTTCCAATGAGGTTCGGAAAGATGTTTCATTTCACTCTTGAAACATGATACCAAGAACAAAACAAGTGTGTGATGTGTTTTCTAAGACAATATAGATGAAAGTATATATATATTTTTCAAATTATATTGTTCCCATTCAAAAGATGACCATTAAATTGACGATATGTCAAATATTTAGATTTTTTTCATGACTGGTTTAAGAGAAACGTGTGTTCAAAAGGTTTTCCATATCGATACCACTCCTTTAAAAATTTGGGCCAAAATTTTCGGTTTTTGGGGCCCAAAATCTTTTCTCTAATTATGATTCATTCATTATAAGCAAATTAAAAGAGAACCTCTTTAAACAAAATTAATGTTACATTTCGAAAGACAAAAACAAAGTATTTACATGTTTTACTTACAGTCGAAGAGTCCAATATAGCTGTCAAATTGTCTCACGCCTGTTGATTTTTCATAATAGTATTTACCCTAAAATGAGTAAGGTCAATAATATTTCATGTATTACATTAATAACATTAAAATAGCTAGCTTCAGTTTTATTTCTTGTATGTTATAATTTCTGATTTATATACGAATAAAATTGAATCTTACCGATAGCCCCTCAAATTCTACATCAAGAAGATTTCCATAAAGTGATTCGAGTAATGTTTTATTCTTGCTATTTCTGTGCTTATAATTCTTGATTTCATCGATGTCATGCTCCTGACGAATCGTTGCATTAATCGCCATTGCTATCGCCCAAACACTGTCATAAACAATTGGCTGGTAGTAACGCAATCCAGCTGTTGGAATTAGCTTGACCAAAGGTTTCAAATCGTTGTATGTCTAAAAAAACAACCAATCGTGGAAGGGAATTTGTATAGCCAAACACTGCACGTAGTTTAAAACACTTGTAATGTAAAGATACATTTTAAATAGTAATAATACCCATTTGGCATCAAAACGCCCCGGGAAGGTTTACAACATATGTTTTACTCTCTTATTGTTAAATACAGTATTCGATTGAGGAGTTTTGATATATCAAACCCGATTTTATAAAAAAAATGCTTTTTACCTGTTTCGTGGAGAAATGTTTATCGTTGTCATACATTCCTACAAGGGTCGTTACCATTTGGGAACAGCCCAGTGCTCCATCGAGAACTTGCAACATTTCTTTTTTATTGCATCCGTAAACAGACTCGTCTATTGAATCCCAATCCGAAATCCTTGCGAAAAAGTAGGTCAGTAATACATATTGTCTCCCATAGAATCCAAGATTATGTAACTAAAGGAAATATAAAGATAGGCATTGCTTTATACTTAAACGTTTCAATTTGATTCCAAACTGAAATACCTCATTCATTTATGTTTATATTGGGGCATATGCATATCTAATGTGCTTATAGAAGAATACGTCAGATTCGTGCAGACAAAATGTTATTCAACGTAATATGTGTGGGCGGAATTGTTTGTGTAACTCTGTTTATAGGCTATATTTTACTAACAAAACATACCTTACAGAGAAGCTTTCCAAATGTCAAGGTGCCTGGCGTAAAAGAAACGAAAACCCTAATGTCCTATGAAACATAAGAAAAAAGTAGTAAACGCTTGTCAGCTGAGAATAAGTGATCATGGTATACCGATGAAGTGGAGTTACATCCCCTACTATGTACACTGTGTCCCGAAAGTATGCCCCCCCTAGGCAGACATATTCCAGTGTCCTCATAGTATGTGTCATATATCATTTTAAAGCTTATCCAAAGTTACATTGATTTGCCAAGTATCACGGTTTAACTCCCAAATGGGAAAAAGTTACAGTCGTTTTAAAAGTTAGTGTTTTGTCAAAATAAAGTTCAATTTTACACCACATTACTAGTCAATGTGTCCCCCTTTGGCCTTGTTAACAGCAGCAATTTTCTGCCTAGGGGGGGGGGGCATACTTTCGGGACACCCTGTATAGTACGTTAATGAAGCTGATTAATTCTTGTACGTATTTATAGTTAATGCATCTCTGTTAGTGCAGATTGATAAAATTGTTACAGTCCATGGTATGACTTCCGAATATGAAGGATCCGTAGCACATTATAGCGCAGCAACATTTGAAGCAATATTTATGGATATATAAGCACTAGTGCCAAAGGGAAAGGACCAATGTAATGGAACTTAGCAAGAAAAAGCAAACTTTAAGTGCATACCAGTCAAAAAAACAAACCCCATATAACCCAAAACCATGATCTAACGTGAAAAGAAACAATGTCTAATACCCCCTTTCCCCACACCATTCAAGAATCAATATCACAATCCAAGACCAGAAGACCAAGGGACATTTCATTCATACTGAAGCCATTACAATACATGTTGAAGAAAAAATTAGAAATTGATATCCAATTGATAGCCAATACCCAAAACCTCAAAAATTGTTGTAGATATAAGTACTCATACAAGATAGAGCATCCAGTCTCAAATGATGTGGGATAGATAAAATCCAGTCTCCAAGTCCATAGGCATTTCAAAGGGTCAACATCCATTCACAAAAGCCGTCGCCATAATCCATAAAACACAATAATTCACAATGGTCATCAGGAGAAAACTAAAGAGGTGCATATGTCTTGATTCTTTTGAAATGCCATTTGCTGAAGAAACTTCCGGCTTTCGGGTCGAAAAATGTCTTTCATCACAAGGGGTCAAAAAGTTTATATTTTGCATAGCCGTAGGGACCAGGGGTTTGGTGGATTCGGACGAAACCCCGGCCAGGGTTTCCCCAAAAAATATTTGTGGAAAAATTCATTGCAATAACCAGAAACAAATCAATTTATATGACCATTTAATAAAAACATAATAATTGAAACACTTCTCTCCAAAAGTTTGGCAACCTTACATGTAGGCACGGGGTAGGATTTTGGGAAGACCCCGGATCACCATGACATTATGCAAAGAAATATTTTCTGAACTTGAGATTTCTGTCTTAGCCATTATTTGAGCCATTTCTGGATTGCTTTCATACATATTATCAATAGTATGTAAAACCTACCCTTTTTATCAATAATCTTTTCAAATATGAAGAACTGACTGCTTATTAGGTAAATTCTAATGTTTACTGCATTGGAATCTCCATATACACAAAAAATCATGATAATTCCTTCAAAATTGAGATAGTTATTCCCAAACTAAGTGGGTGATGTTTCTGGGGTCACCCTGTACAGGAAATCCATTTTAAGCCCCTCCAACCTTAGAAATTAATGAATGTGAATCGCTAAACAATAAGAACTTTTGGAGATTAAATAAAACCTGATATCTATAGAATTACAGATTATTTTCAATTCAAAGTAAGAACAAATAGGTAGTTTGAGTACTATGTGTTCTTTGTTGCAAGGCATTGCATACTTATTATCATCTGTCACTTCTATCGTCAGTACCAATTGAGAGTATTCGTGTAGCAATAAAGACGCTCATATGTGCGTCATGATTAAATCAGTATTACATTTTCGAAAATATTTGCTACTATTCAGTAACTTACTGTAAGTTCATTAGGTCATTTAACACTCCTCTATTATAAAATGAAATGCCAAATAAAAATCTTTTGATTTGGAATCTTTTCAAAACATCATCTTACCTCAGTATTAAAGTGTGGGAATCACATGTTTCAGAATTTGACATATTGAACTCTAAAGTCTATCTCAACGAATTAGGAATGAGGATTTCTCCCTAAAATATCTCGTTTTAAAAAACATGTTCCTTAAAGATAGGATTTGCCCGTACATGTATAGTAACTCTTGATTTGGATTTCATTAAACAAATGTTATATTAAAATGTATGTCTTTGCCCCTAAATTTCAGGATATCTAGTCCGTAAAGGATTCACCGAAATCTATTTTAATATAAAAAATCAAATTGTCTAACTTTTTCAAATCTTTGTCATTTTAGAAAAATAGCCCCTGATATTTGGAACATGTGTACATCATTTAATCTTCCACCAGCCTACACTATTTCGTGACGATCAGGTTGATAGTTTACAGCACTTTAAACAACACGCTCCAGAGGCCAATATTGTGCTTTGGGAAAACCTGCACCCATCGTAATGTAATTACCTGACTTCTACCTGTGGGATATACCAAAGATAAAGTGTACAGAAATGACCTTTTTTAAACAATAGGATTATTTCATTACTATATTTTTCGTGGCATAATACACAAGCATGCGGCAAATCGCATTTTGGCATTTTATGTCCGCTTTCAATTACAATGTTACATATTATAGATATACGAAAAATTCAAGAAAAATAAAACACACCCACTGTTTAGATCTGGCATGTTATAAATGAAGTGTACTGATGGGGACCTGTTGCAACATAGATGGGGCGACCAATTTCACCGAGAGGTTGAGTAAGTGGAGTCTAAGGTAGTCAGACTATGTAAAAAATACAACCATTAACAGTTTTTTAAAAATAAATGTTGATGTCAACTGAAATAGATTGTCTAATTTATCATGATCGAGTTGGGATCACCAAAGAGATATAAATCAATTATATCCTGTTGGGTTTTATAAAGTGATATATCATCCACAATTAACATAATGGCTTCATTGAATTGATGAAGTTTATTCATTCTCATGGGGCAGCTGAAAATAAATGTCTAAAAGTCTCAGGGGACCCACACTCACAGTTTGGAGAGTCAACATTATTCCTATTGTGAGATATCAATTGGGTCTTCAAAATAAGGTCAACTCTGGCTCTGTTGAGGTACATCTCTTGCCTGCGATTTAGAATGTTAAGGGACACAGTAGATATAATCCCAGGGAACATTTCGATTTTTAGTCTCCTTTTAAGTAGGCCAATGAAGGATCGGACTTCAGATAAGGCTGATCACGTTGTACATTTTTACATATCTCGACCATCTTGTATATTGGTGATTTTCTGGGATAATAAAAGGCATGATATAATCTCGGTTAAAACGTTTATTTCTAATATTGGCTCTTTTATAAGGAACGAATATGTCTGTTATATATTATGGAATGAGGGCATTGTCGACTTTATACGTAAGACTCTTAAAATGAAAATTTCTACGACCAAGTTAGCAAGACCAATTTAAAATTTTGAATATTTTACAGGCACTTGAGTCTGACACAATTAGACCAGCTTGACCTAACAACAAAGCATAGACAATTTGTGCAGGTTTACCTAAGCGCGATGATGATCACACCTGGGGCATGTTGTTTAAAGTGCTGTAACATTGTGACTTTCTGTTGGTCATGAAATCTGGTTGGCTGATGGGGAATTGAATGATGTACAAGTGTGTAAAACATCAAGGAGTAATTCCTTAAAATGACAAAGATGTGAGGAACCCCAATGAAGGGGAAACTTTTATAGATTTTATAAGACACAGATCGTTATTCTAAGATACGAACAAAAATTGATTATCAAAATGTGCAAATATACTATAATTTTACTGTAGATGTCGGTGTTCAATTAGTGTAATTACGCAAGTGTGTTTTTCAGATTTTGTTTGATTTTTCAAATATGAGCCAAGCAGATTCAACAAAATTGTGTGGAATATTTAGGTAATTTTATGCTTGGGAACATATTTCTTACCATTTAAAACATTTTATTACCAGATTTTTTTCATATAATCGCTAGGGGTCAAACAACAAATCACTGTTCATGTTTTATAAAACATATTTACAATAACAAATAATAATCAATTAGAGTCATTTGCAATCGAACACCTTACAATTCTCCCTCGACGTTACTGCTGGCTATCAGTAAGTTTTCTGATAATTATTTCTTCTTTGACCTTACCGCTGGATGTCATCAAATTTTAGGAAGATAATGATAACGATTTTTTCAATTATTCATTAATTCGATTAAGTCTTATTGGTTGTTTCATAAGCAACTTGACTATATGTAACTACGAGAAATATAATTTTTTGTAGTCTCAATAGTCAAGGAAGAGCAATATGCTTTCCTTTATTGATAATGTTCACCGAGGAATAAAAGTCCATATCTCAAAACGTATTGAGACCCATTTTGTGAAAAACTAGCATAATTTAAGCATTTGTCATTCTAAAGGAGATTCATTTGTAGCATTTATATCATTAATACCCAAGAAACAATACAAAAGGTAATACCAATTACATATTTTTGGGTATTGATAAGAAAAATAATCTCAAACTTATAGCTTAGAAACCTTAATCATATATTTAAAATCATTTTGTATTATTTTCTGTTGCATCGTGTACTCCAAATTGTGAAAAAATGGGATTTTATTTTTTGGTATTTTTTTACCTTTGTTAATGACATGTTAATGTAGGTATAATACTGTTAGGTCAAATATCGCTGCACTATATTGTGCTACCAGCTCCTTCATTAGACGTCCTAGAGATTTCATACCATGGACAATTATAGATACCGAAAATGAAGCGACAATCACAAAAATGATTTATTTGTAGTGAAAAGAAACTGAAATTAAAATATTAAATCTAAAAAGTTCGTTCCTCTTGAACATGAAATGAGATAACAACTTGACCTGAACATTGACTTGAGGATATATCCACAGGAAAGTATTATTATGGAAAATATCAATCGCCTACTACTTTTGGTACCTTTGTATGTACTAATTTTCTTCTCATTTTTACCTTTAATGGTTCCCAAATGACATCAGGTGATCCTTCATCGAATGTAAAGAGAACATCGGCATCTACGGTCGCGTTTCTTTTCTTAAGCTCGTTCCTCAACACAGCAGCTGCCTAATCGTGGAAATAAAAAGGAATAAATAAGTTCTTTCTTCAACTTGCCCCTATCTTAAATACTAGTATCCTTGTAAAAAAGCATAGAGGCTACAATTTGCTATCAAGGGTGTGTTTTAAAGATATATTTTTAATTAATAAAAACTGAAAATTTATGGAAAACATGTGCATTTGCCTCAACTGATATTAAAATCGCAAACTTTAGTATTGTCATCGAAAATGTCATTGTATGTCAATATTATTATTCTAAAAAGGTTTTGAGTTCACTGGAAGAAGTATTCATTTTTTATTTCACAATTGTCTTATTCTTTCTTTTTCAAAAAAGCAAATCCTTACCTTAGCCGCTTCCCCAAAATTGTAGGTCAACAGCCCTATCTTGTTCCATGTATAATGCTGAATAATGGCATCGAAAGCAAATGAACAAAATGAGCTTTCAGCAACTGTTCTAGTATAGTATTTATAGTTTTGGTTGTTATACTCTGTGCGGAAGGAAAGTGCGCTCTGAAAAAGTTTTTTTTTTAACAATAAGTGCATCTTCTAAGGTAGAACACCGCTGTCGATTACCCTTTTCTAAAATTCAGATTTTCCTGAAAAATCTAGATGAAAGGATATATTGATGACATTGTATAACAAAGTAAGGGTTTCAATGAGAAAATGAATATTTTTAAATATTGCACAATTCAGATTCTCTTCACATTTTTTGATCATTCACAATGGGAAACCAAAATTATTTTAATAACATATTCATAAATATTCACCGCCTGGATCTCGAAAAAAAATATATAATATGTATATAATATTATGAATCAGTGGGAAACTATTATCATTACATAGTTAGCATGATATTCATAGGATAACATGTCAAAATAAAAACGGTATTTTTGTAATCAGTGGTAAAATATGATATTTTTGACAAATTTTCACTTAACCATAGCATACGGTATTTAAGCCATGACGTATGTTATAAATTATGGATTTTTGCTACTTCAGACTCAAAACGAGGCAAAGTGGGACACTAGGCATAATCTAAAAAGGCCAGAGACACGCTCCCATGGAAAGTCATTACATGCACAGCATAGGCCATTGGCATTCAATAGATGCATTGGCGGGAGGGCGGATGTGCGATGGGTGCGATCGCCAATAACCAATAGAAATAGAACCATGAGATAGACGAAGAAAAGAGCACCCCCTGACTGAAAGCTGGCTACGCCCAACAATGTGTATCAATTCACACGATTTATTCTTTAACTCATATGTATCGTTATATCAAAGAAAAGTACTTACTCCAGGCAATGAATATATAATTTGAGTAACCTTCACTTCTGTTTGAAGTCCAATAACACTATGAGTAAAATCTATTGACAACGGCGCCAGAGTATCAAACTCTAAAATGTACCATTTCTTTTTTAACTTTTTAATGGCATGATATAATGACACGATAATATTAATATATGTTTTCAGCATAACTTTGAATGTATTAATGAGATATTAATGCATAGGGTCTTTTTAATTCTTTTTATAAAAAACAATATATTTTGTCAGCTGTGACGGAGCATTTTCACAGTTCACATCTGCAATTGCTCCGTTTAACATTATTTTGATAAAATAATTAAAAAGACCAAATATATCAACATCTCATTTATACCTTCATAGTTAATATGCTGAAACCATGTGTAAATATTATCGTGTCATGTCACTATATCGTACCATTAGAAAGTTAAACAAGCAATGCTACATTTTGAAGTATGATACTCCGGAGCCATTTTCAACACTATGTATGCATGTCCATCATAGGGCATTCTCGTATTGCTCGGATTTCTATGACGTCGAATGTCCGTGCCAGAGCATGAAGATGAAATTATGATTCGCTTAAATATCACGGTGACCAAGAGTTAACAGTGCAAATCGGCCCGGTCGTGTTTTTTTAAACACTTTAGTCGTGTTTTGTAAGAACATGGGATGCGACATTCGATAGAATGGAGCAAAATGGTACCATTCTATATTTTACAAACTTACATATCTTGACTTCTACCTAAGATGTTCTTCTTCATACCAACGAATCTATTTTGGGGATAAATCCATCATACTTCATATCAATCGCAATTATATACCAAAAGTGCCAGAAATATGTACTTAATTTGCATTTAGTGTTATTTAATCAAGTTTAAACAGACAATCCATTCAACAACGTGGAATAATATTCACTTCTCTAAAGATCGTGTAAATATTTTAACTGTATTTATCTTAAAATTACCATAAATGACCGTAAATGTAGAAAGTGGAGTTAACTATGGAGAAGGGACAATATAACGTCATGGACGTGTCTTATAATAAGCATGTTAACGTTTTGGAATTGTAAAGATAACGTTTTAGACGTGATAAAATTAACGACTTTGAATTGTCTTGTAATATTGTTCACATTGACCATGTTTTGTTGCTTAATAATTTGTCTGTGCTTCTGAAAATAATCGTATTAGTACTAAACACGGGAATATACATTATGTGTCACCCGTTTATTGTAATTAGTAGTCAAGATATGAATAAATAAAAAAGACAGATATATGATTTAACAAGATCAACAGATATTGTAATTTAATTCGCTAGAAAACTATGTTACACTACAGTTCATAGATCACTCATAGAACGATAGCAGCATATGTAGCGTTTTTTACCTATTGCAATTTGAAAATTAAAATTGAAATTGTATTGCATTGTGTGAGGCGAATTAGGGAATAACATCGAATCAAATTGTTAAAAATCCTGAGGCAAACCTAATAGATATTGAGCATACGATTTTAATAATGGTGGAGTTATTCCTTACATTAGGTGATCATATATATGCATTTACATGTAGTGCATCACAAACTAAACATTTCCTCTCATTTTAAATAAATTTATTTACGTTCTTGACAGGGAAAAGTGAGTTTAAGGCCAATAGGGACGTTTTAAAACGTATTTTAGGCAAATTCAAAAATAGCAACGAGCCATTTAATGAGCGACAGGGCAATTAAAAAAATAATATGACTGGTCAAATTTTCAAAATGACGAGCGACGAGGCAAAGCTCGCTTGCATTAACCATGCGTGTCTGATTCTAACCATTTTGATTTAAGTATCAAATTCGGTAGTGATCCCATAGATCAATCTTGACATATTATGTCGTACATTTGATTATTGTTAATCATTTATAATTAAGATAGTGTCACTCAGACAACAACTTCTTCCACATTGTGATCATTTTTTGGGAAATACATAATGTTACACAAGACAAAATCGTACAAAATAACTTGCAATAAACTCGGTATTGACCTTGTTATTATGGTCGTAGTTGTGGTTATTATTGAGTAATGGTACAGGTATCCGATATGGTATTGCAGCGTATACTGGAGTAATGGTACAGGTATCCTTGGATTTCAGCCCCGAATACCGAGGTTTATTTTTTCAATTATCGTGTATTATTCTTTTGTGTTAATATAAGTTAACCATCTAACTATTGGTATGACATGATTACCTTGTTCTATTAATATAGTGTGTAATGAATATGCTACATTTTGTATGTTCAATTTGTAGACTGGCAACTAGTATTTATATGTTTAGGTTACTAGGCTCATGTTAATCCAATAATATAGATGAAGACAACTTTAGATACAAGATACCAATTCAAATCAAGAGTGAAAAGATGATATTAGTCTATACATTTTATGAATAATGCATATTTGAATAAATATAGGCGGGTTATACTGTGAATGACGATATTAATCAAAAGTGCAATAATTTTCTAACTAGATGCCTGTTTTATGAAAAGTATCACGGCTGGTGATCCTACATATCATTAGTATTCTCAGAAAGTCGGTATCCGAATCGGATACCGTGTTCTGACCAGCAGACGAACAACTACGTTTGTTTATTTAACGGTTAGATTTGTTGACTTACCGATGCGTATTACAATCTTTTTTGGTCTCTTTTGGTTAATCACAAGTTTAATGATGTCAACGGACAATGAGATAACACATTGTCAGAGGAAAGATATCAATATCAGGTGTATATCGCATAGAAAAATAAATATAGTTAATTGTTTGCACTGATATGATGTGACTAAGTATTTATATTTCGTTTTATTTAATCCAATTTCCCGCCCTTGAGGTTTCAGACTGTGAAACTTAATATTGGAGAGGTTAAGCAAATACGGTTTTTCAAAACGTATTCGTAAACGCAAAGTACATTGAATCAACATAGGATTGTATCGCTTTAGTCTACTTCAGATACCCGTTCTACTTCAAAGTTGCGTGTTTAGAACGGGAGATTTTAAACTTTCACGTTGCTATCAACGGGAATCATTATACTCATGTCTGTTGAATACTATCCTTGCAATTTTGATTTCGAAGCAGAGTATAATTCTTTCTGAAGAAGATGATGTATGTTACGCATGATTTAACTCCAATAATCTTACGAAACGAGCTCGTTTAAAATATGTATTAGAAAACCAGCTATTGAACTTCATCAATGGGTTATTATGTAATCATTACAAGCTATGGTGTAGTCTAAACAAACACTAGAGCTGAACGGCTATTTATGTGTGAACTCTACATGTATTTGTATAGGGCATATTGATACGTTTAAGTTGCGTTTTTGATTTTATACGGTAGCTTAACCTCTCCATTCAATACTGACCAACTGCATAAATTAATATTTTCATTATGAAATATATATTTTATTTCTCCAAGATATATAATTTTGAATTTGTTTATGTATTAAAGAGTGTGATTTAACGATAATTGATGAAAAATCAAATGAGGTTTAACACATAAAAATGAGTGGGGGCGGGAGGGGGAGCGACACGTTATTACTCCGAACCTCGTTACTCCCAAAAATCCAATACTTTTAAAAAAGTTAAAAGATTGGTAAAACATACACTTTAATTGTAGTCTTCAATCTCCTTTATAGCAAAATTGAATGAAACGTTTAGAAACTGAGAAATTAAGTGTAACGGATAGACCTCAAAGAATAAATTACGAAATATAGGCCTAAATGACTAACAACATTACGTGCAGTTTTTTATGATATGAAATAGCGGGATTCAGAAACGCATTGAACTTTAATAACAGATGACGAATATTTTACAGACTGACAAATGATACACGAGTGTGCAAGCGTCTTGGTGAAAATAATTTATGATCCGAACCCGGGGATCCAAATCACGATCTGTCAACAAAACCCCCACACACTTACATATCAGGTTAGCGCAAGCCTTAAATGTACAATATGCACGAAACGTTTTCTTGTAAACAAAAAATACAATCAACTCAATAATAATGATTCCCACGAATTGATTTCCTTGATCATTAATCTAGACCACATAATACTTGTTTGATTGCGGTTTTTGGTTCTTCACAGACAGGATATTCAAGGGACTTATCTTGATTTCGGGCCTTGATTGCAGTCTATGGAGTTGCGTTAGGTTTTATGAAGTACTATTTTTAATTCCGCATATTAGATATCTCTGATAAATAGCTATAATTTGATGAAAACAATATTACCATAGGCCTTTGAAATCAAAATAACCTGCCATATAGAAATCAATCCACATCATGTTGCTAACAAACAGCATAATTCGGCATTAATACGTAGAACTGGACAACAAATAACAATATAATGTTGTTTTGATCCGGATTTTGAATATACAGTACTCTTTTCCCTCAAACCTATCTACCTCTTGAAAAAAACCGTAACTGGTTATTTTGTACCTTGAATCTAAACTTGATACATGTACGTTCAAAATATCAACGGTTACATATATTCATCATTCAAAGGTTTGCTCTCGGCCCGACACTGAATCAAATCGGACCGTTTCAAGAGAGGAATGATAAATAGAAATCTGATTTGGGAAGCCATTGGATCTAACTCACTAAGAAATTGTGTATTGAAATGATATAAGCCAAAAAATATTCTAAAAATTGAAACATTTTTTTGTCTAATGGCTTCAGATAAATTAAATGATCGAACAATCAGCAAGTCTAATTGAAAATACACATCCTGTAAAAGTGAATTCAAACACGGAATAAATCGCTGTTATTTAACTTGTATATTGTCTACAAAATAGAAGGGGGAGTGGGAGATAATTCCCTTGCATGTTAAGATCAAAACCAAATTCCCAAAACATACCAAAATTAGAACTCCTTTTATATTTATAACTATTAGGGAAAAACCCGGGAGGGAAAACAAATAGTTAATACAAAAAGATGAAGGAGACAACTGATGAGAGGAAAGCAAAAATCGAATTAAACAATTAGGATTAGAAAACTGATAAGAGAGGAGGATAAAAATCGAATTTATCATATGATACTTCTGAATTTTTAGGATGTTCGTGGACTATATACGCCCCTCCTCGGACGCGCACCCCATTGGCACCCACAGGGAATTTCCCATGGGGGATGCGTCCATGCCCGTAGCCAGCTTTTTGTAAGGGGGGCTCGAACCACCCCCGACAGTACCCCCTCCCCCCAGCGAACAAGCGCGAGAAGGGGGGATCTGGGGCCCGGTCTGGGGGAAGAACGTCTTTGGTACATTCTGACCAGTTTCGGGCGAGAAATGGGGGTCTTGGAGGTTCTCCCCCCCCAGAAAATTTCGAAAATTGAACATCATTTGGTGCATTCTGACCAGAACTGGGGGGTTCTCCCCTAGCAAATTTCGAAAATTTAACATAATTTAATTTGATGCATTCTGACCAATTTCAGAGCGAGTATACTTATGGGATCTGGGGGGTTCTCCCCCCCCAGATCGCGGAAATGATGCGTACACCCGAACGACCCCCTCAACGACCAACAAATCTCCCAAAATCATACAGTTTAAACTTTTCACCATTTTGAGCAGTTTCAAGTGGTTTTTAGGACCAAAGTTTTCAAAAGTGAACCCCGTTGTATTTTTGAAAAGTAGCCCCCTTGATAAAAACTGATTACGGTTTTTGTTCTTAAGAAACTGTTATATTCATCTTAGTTTGAGGAAATAAATGCGTATTACTGGATTGAGACATTTGATGACACAGTGTCTGTTTCCCGTCAGCTGCATTGATTGCATCATCATGGGAAAGTGGGATTGAGTCTATATTGAACTTATTAATTAAAAATCAACGGAGGTTTTGCTCATTCACCTCTTTAAGTGGTTAGAAATATCAAATAACTCGGACGTTGCTTTCTTGATCATAAATGTGAACCCCCTTGTCGGGGTTCAGCCCCCCCCCCCCACATAACATGACATAAGCTTGGTACGGGTCTGCACTTGGACTAGCCTTTAACCCATGTTTTAAGAGTCAATTATCCATTTAAAATCATAGCCTTGTAAATAACTGCTTTTGACACTAATCTGTGGATTTGGAAATAAGTCCCCGATAATCCCTTATTTCTCCAGAATGTATGTTTCTGTGTGCCCCCCCCCCCCCCAGTACCAAATCTACATGTATATTATCGCCATCCCAAAGGTGATCCGAAATTTGAAAAAGCAGAAGCGTATATGGACATTGGCAAGGTTATAGGGGAAGCGGGCTGTTACCCTTCACATTGTTACACTAGCCGTGCGTCAAGCATACGGCGACCCGGACGGCGACCGCCTGCTTTTCCCAGTTTTAATCTAAACCGTTGCTCATATATTGCTATCATGATTGATTTTCACATCAAAAGTCCCAGTTTGTTAAAAAATACTGATGATACTTGATTTTCCGGAGTTACTATACATGTACACGTACATGTAAAGAATGTATATAAAAGTTCATAGGCTGGTGAAATTTACCTATAGATTTGCAACACAAGATCTTGATGCATCCATTTAGAACATAACATGTTACAATAATTCAAAAGTGCGTTCATTAAAACCGGGTCATTAACAGCGGGGCATGAACAGAAGGCATGTGTACATGGTATACAACTAAATGTATCCTCAGATGTGAAATGAAATGAACTCTCAAATACTGAGGCTGAGATGAGCATTTATTTGGTTCTACATTTTCCTCATTAATAATAGTGACCTAATTACCTAATAACGCCTCCTATAAAAGGGGAACTATACATGATACGTATGTTGGATGATTTTGATTTGTCTTGCTTTATTATTCAACTGCTAGCCTTGTTGCATTTGGAATAAACGCAACAGGCGTTTGCAGTTCTATGTCATTTGTGAAATGAATTGATTTGAAAGACATCACGTGAAGGGGGGGGGGGGGGGTCGAAGCTGGCGCAAATACAAAATATGTCTGAAAACAAATATATGCTATCAAAGTCAATTGGATTATTTATACTGTAGTAGATCGGATGTTGTCGTTTCAAATATGCAATCAGACGGCGTGTGCGGAATGTTACTTAATCAGTTCGCGGCCGATTTTTAAAATTCATGAGAAAATAATATCTGAAGCCAAGATGTTCTACTATATTGTGATAAGCTTTTTGACCCTGGTTTTTGACTATTAGCTTTTAGATTATGTGCAAGTTAAATAGCAGGGATTAATTTCCTAATGAGACAGATTTATATTTTGCAATCAGATTCAGACGGATTAAATTCTTCTCTCTTTTACAGGATGTGTATTTTCAATCAGACTTGCTGATTATTCTTCGGTTTATTTCAAATTTAATTTTAGAGAGATATATTGTTATTCAATTGTAAGAATTATAATATGGAAATAAATATAACATAACATAACATATTATAAAAATCAACATCACGCCCGATGATCGGAAGTAATGAACGGAGGGGGGAGGGGGGAGCCGATTTTGTCCAAAAATTCAACAAATCTGGAAGATTTATTGTTTCAAGAGAAAGTTTATAATTATAATTCAATTGCTAAATTAATAGGTGCATGACATTGGGAAATATGTTAAGTCTTCTAGGTATTTTTTTCAACTGATAGGCTTCTTAGATACAAGATTTATTCAAAATAGCGCAGCGTCACTAACTTTCAAATGTCAATGTTTTTGCTATAAATATCAAGCAACGGGGGTCTACATTCTACACGACCTGTTTTTAAAAGCTTTGTAAAAAGTGCAGGACCGTAATCACATTTTGTCAATGGGGGGGGGGGGCACTTTTCAAAACTTTCCAAGGGGGTTTACATTTGACAAATATGGCCCCGCAATCACTTGAAAAGTGCTGAGAATGGTGACCCCCCCCCCGGGTAAGGCCCTGCAGTCAGTACATTTATGATTACAGCCTATCTAAAAACCGACGTCCTAGTTCTTTGATATTTTAACCACTTAGAGGTAAATGAGCATGTAGACAAAAATATCTATCGATTTCTAATTAATTAGTTCAATATAGACTCAATCCCGTTTTCCCATGATGATGCAATCAATGCAGGTGACGGGAAATAGTCACTGTCATCAAACGTCTCAATCCCGTAATACGCATTTATTTCTGTTTAATAATGTAAATAGTTCATGCCAGGAAGGGAGGGGGAGGGGCGCATTTCTGTAATTTTACGTCATACTTTAAAATATATTTCACGTTCAAATCGAAGAATAAATAAATAATTTCTTTATTTCAAATAAAAATGACTTGGCTGTGATACGTAACAGATTCTTGTAGTCATTTGATGACAAACGGTTAATTAGTGAACGGGCCGAGGATAAGCAGTATTTATCTTACAAAAAGCATGATCATTGTGAACTTTTTATTCCTGAAAAATTCAGCTGGAGAATTAGATGTTCGGGTATAAAATCGCTTTTGGTCCGAGAATAAATGAGAGCCTCCTAATATTAAAAGTATAATTATTCTGTAGTATAATATTATTGCTTTTTCCAAGGGGTTGCTGTCTTCTAGTTGAACTCTCCTACTCCAATGCTTCTTCTGGTATTTCCACATATTTTATCGATAGAACATTAAAGTTTAATGACAAAAGACGATAAAAGAAACTTCAAAGTAAACTTGCGTATTTTGGTCTATTTCTTTATTGAGAGCATTTACAAACGCACGAATTATATTAAGGCTAATTTCGTAACATATAATCTATTTAAAGCTGATGATTTTAAAGTATGTTCGGTTCAATTGTACAAAAAATGAATAGTATTATAGTATATAGAAAAATACAACGATTAAAATGCGCATACTGTGCACACAATGTACAAGGATTGCCGAACTTGCATGCGCGTTCTTGATAATAAGAAAAAAGGTCGAACAGTTACTTAAAAATCAAACATTTTCATTTTTAAACATAGTAAATATTTGGATATTTAAATCAAAAAAGTATGATAACATTTATGATCGATAATTATTAATAACTCTCCATAGCCAACAGTGACTGTGACGACATGTTTATTTACAATAGCTAATTAGACATTTACAATATTGTTAATGGTCGCAACGGATACTATAAGTAAGCAGTTCGGATACCACGTTTGTATACGACAATAACAAATCCCGGGCAGAATGTTATTTAACAGTATCTGATCTTATTACTTATTAATCAATTTGGATAACAAATATATTATCTCGTCGTATTGGAGTTTATTATATAGTGTTTCTCGTTGTGTTAATTGTGCTGTTTCCCACTTCCAAATCGTTAAACCTCAATGTCTCTACACGTCTAGAACGTTTCACTAACAGGTCAACGTCATTAACCGCAATCTTTTCAACACGTCTAAAGAGTTTAATCTAAAAAATATTATTCGGTCAATTGCTACTTATTTAAGCTCTTCTAACTTTTGATTTTCGCACATATTGTGAATGCTTTCCTTATGAATCGATGTATTCATTGAATACAAGTCAGGCAAGTGATTTTCAGGCAAAATATGTATAACACTGACAGAATTGCTCATTTCCCGATATAACAAGACTATAGCATACGATTCGTGCAAATAACACGTTTACGAATACCTGAAGTTTAGATATATAGTATGGAAAGCAATATAAATTACTTACTTTTACATAAAGTCAAGTGACAGCAATTTCATGACCAAATTTATCAACCTACCTCTCAAATTTTCAACAAAACACGACTAAAGAGTTTAAAAAAACACGACCGGGCCGATTTGCACTGTTAACTCTTGGTCACCGTGAATATGCTAACAATCTTCATAGTTCTTACAATTCAAAATCTCTATTCTTAATATTGTTTGGATATTATCGTTTCTAAAAATCATTATAGCACGCCATATCGACCCAACTGAATGAAATAAGAAGCAAGGAAAAGATTCCTGGAAGATGAATACCATTTTCATGAACGGGATTGGGGGGGTTAATGCGATTTTCGGGAGCGAAATTGGGCAGGACAATGTGATTTTTTCAATATCAAAAATATTCCAGGGTGTACTTCACCACAAAGGAGTGGTAATATGGGATAAGATTATATATCAAGCAAATGGTATACACCTCAACGAACGAACTTTGTAGCTCTTGTCATCTAAACTAATATGTAAACAGAAGGTACACATTTGAAATAATATACCGGCATAAATTGTGTTTTTCTTTGCCTTAAAATTGTTTTAAAATATTATACCTCTCTATTTTATTTCTTTAAAAAAGATGCATCCCCATTTAGCGCATACTGGTATCGTCGCAGCTTGACCTTGCCAAAAGCTTAACATAAAAGGTGTATCACGACCTCGGTAGATGTAGTCCCACAACCTGCCGTTTACAGAGGCGACATTCGACTCCTGAAAATGTAATAATACTACTAAATAAATGTATTTGACATCCAACAATTTCACGTTGAAAACGTTATCTAACGAACAAACGCACCGTGGACCATTAATTGACTATAGTCATCAGGTATACTACATGTGTCAAGAATATTTGCAAAAATGTTACCAAATATAATGGCTATGCCTTGTTCTGAGTCTCATATTTTCTATCCCAACTATTGTCTTTTTCCGATTTCATGACATTAGACAATGATTTCTCACTTACGTCAATGCATGGATCTAATTTAAGTTTAAACATTGGAAACAATTCTGTAGCTTTGTTGACATCTTGAATCGCTCTTTCGGCAAACTGACAGATCGCATCCTCCAAATCATAGTCGGTACTGGTGGTGAAACCTATAAGGTTCCCCACTAGTATGGTAGTTCGGTTGTCATCAACGAAGAACGTGGTATTATCCCCATTTCTGTTCATAACTACATTGCTATTCACAACTTGTGTAGTACTATCCGTTGTATATGTAAAATTAACAGCCAAACCACGAGTGTTTGACACACTGAATACTGCGAGTATTAAGCATATGTTAGTCATTGTGTCAGAGGAAACGTGTAACGTCGCTTGTCGGCCGAGATACTGTTTTTCAGACTTTTAAAAGTTGTTAACTATGATCACGGTGTTATAGCATGACGGTTACGCCACCTCTGAAAACGAGGCTGGACGGCTACGTTCACTGATTTATCCAATAAAATGGCCGCGATGGAAGAGAAAACTTAGGTTGGTGCATTATTTTCTACTACTGTGTATCAATGAAAGGATGAACGATTTATGTAAGCGTCGCATTCGGTGACGCATTCAGTGATGTATATTTTGAAAGTAGTCTTTGCAAATTGATGCCCGGGGATAACACGAAAGAAGAGAAAAACTGTCGAGTCTGGAATTCAAAACTACAGAAAATTTAGTAATTTGTTTATTTTTGATGTTAGGGCATGGTCTACATTGCCGAAAAACCTTGGGGTATACAGATGTAGCCTACATACGATCATACAAAGCCAATTGAGCATTGGAAACCACCTAATATGTTCTACTCAAGTCATAATAATGCATTTTGAATTTGCGGTAACGTAAAAAATTGATGGACGGTTACGCGAACCTGATTCAAATATGAATCCCCGATTCATTGTTATTATTTTGTCATCTTCATCAGTACTTGATCCTAAATCTTTTTTTGCCTCTTCATTGCTATCTTTTACACTTTCATTGGTTTAATAAATAAAGCAAGTGACAGTTTTTTTCCTTGCCCTATAGAGGCTGAAACAAAAGTGTCTCTTGCGAGTCCTGAAAACAAATATAGGAAATTCAATATTCCATTTCTTACCCATTATAACAATAGCATGATCTAGCAACCTTGACTTGACAGATGTACATACACATAACCGTCCGCTAAATAACTTATGTACAGCTAATACAATACGTTACCATCCATAGAATTCGATAGAAGTCATACGTAGTCGTCTAACGACATTGCGTTTGAAACCTTATTATTTACGATATACACCACGTTCCCGTTCTGGATTTGTCATTTTATGCCATGTTTGTACAAAGTTTACATACAGTTAATATTTTGAGTGGCTCTGAGGCACATGTACTGAGAAAACACGAGAATGGACCAAAATTATGAACTTGAATATCTCAGTCGGTAGGTTTAAGGCTTATATTCTGTTTCTTGTAGACCACCTGGCAGATTTGACCCAGTCTATATAACCATCCATATATTACGTAACCGAATGGAACTAGTTTAAAAGGAAATCTTATCTGTGAATATTGCCTACAGGCGAGAAAGAGGACATGATGTCTTTCCCATCCGCCATTTTTGTTATCGTTACCGCAAAATTTTGCAAATCGCCTTTATGTAACCGTCATGCTATAACACCGTGATGATCAGTTATCGTATTTGCAAAGATATTAGAGCGCATCATAGATACATAAAACCAAACTTTGCATATAGGACTGCACTATACACCTATAATACATTACCTCGATTTGATCCTGTGTCTAAAATTAACCTCTGGGATTGAGTCTCCTGTCATCCTAGGCGATGTAGCAATCTTCGACTCCTAAATAAAAAAAAACTCAAAGAATGATAACAATTGGATATTGTCACAAGAAAATTCCTAAATATGTAAAAAAAAAAATCGTTTACTTTATTCTGAAATTGAGACCTCGGAATTCGCTAAAATATAATACTTATTTGATAATATCGTTTGTTTTTAAATTAAAACACAGTTGTACTAGTCAATTAAATTCGTCTCCATAAATGTATCGTAAAACAATCATTTGTATATAATAACAAAACATGTCAAAATGACACGACTTCATTTATTCATTCAACTAAACGCAATACATCAACTAAACGCAATACATTAACTCTCACTAGCATTGGGCCCCGTCTTAGAGGGTGAAGTATAGAAAAAAGGTCAGGCAAGCAACATTGACATGACAATTTCACCTGTTTATAAGACTCAGAACGTTAATGTAAGCATATTTACAATAGCGCCTCAGAATGTGTATTGGTCCCATATAGGCCATCAGCTTCACCCCCAAAATTTAGGTTATCGGTACCAAGCTAGGGGAATAAGCCTCATTGTGACTTTTGGCAAGGTAAATACCTCTAGAGTAATGAATTATTTGATAGCACTGCAGAAGTGGCAGCTAAATGGGTGTTTTTACCCATTTTTCAAAATGGCCGCCGGTGTGCTTGCTACTAAATATAAGAAGTTATATCTAAGCATACTGAGAGGCAAAAACAGTGATTTTGAGGTATAAGCCTTGGTTTTAGGGGTCAATGATTTCATTTAAGTCAAAACTTAATTGCATTATACAAAATCCAAGATGGCCGCCAAAATGGATGTCAAAACAAATATGTCACTATTGATATAAGCTCAAAAAGCTCAAAGGACGGTTAAAGAGTGACTTTGGAGACCATGAATAGGTTTTAGAGGCTAGGGATTTTATTTGTGTCTAAATCTAAGTAATCAAATAACTACTTTACATAGAAATCCAAAATGGCCACCAAAATGGGTGTCAAAATAAATACGTAACTATTTATGTAAACAGTTAAAATGTGCTTTTGCAGATCATGGTAAGGTTTTAGAGGTTAATGATTCCGTTAATGTGTAAATTGAAGTGATTCAACAATATCTTTATATAGAAATCTAAAATGGCTGCAAAAATGTCTGACGATATGCCTGCAAAAATGAATTTATATGCACATAGAAACATTAGAACAGTTATATTATCAATTTACTAGCCTTTACCTAAGTTATCTTAACCTTTCCTCATATTAAAATCCAAAATGGTCACCAAACTAGCTGCCAAAGTAAATAAATATATATATGTACCCATATCTTTAGGCATTATGAAGAATGTTGGCTGGTGATTATGGTATCTTCCAAGGTCAAGTGGTCGAGGTTTGTTCCAGTAGTCATTTGTCCATCATCAGTTGCTCACCCTCATACGGTTTACCTGATTTAATTGGTTACAATTGCCATTGTTAAGCATGACACTTGATTTGATTGGTCATTACCACATTCACATGGAGCATGACTCAACCATCCAACCTATTTCCTTTATGCCATCTTGAAGTTCAGACCTAGTTCAGACCTAGTTCTCTCAACATGATGTTCCGCCTCTAAGGCCTACATGCACTGGAACATGTCTCACCTTCCACCCTTTACACCTTTGTCAACGAGGTCTTCATTCTCTGCACTCTTCAATCCTTCCGAGATATTATCTTCTGTGTAATTGTACACTTAGATTGAGTTTGTCCTTTCTTTACAGAAACTGGATAAAAACAGGTTGTAAGGAATCACTTTGAATGTTAACCTCTAGCCATTTGGTGTCAACCAATTTGAAATGGCCTGCAGCACTTTATTATATCACCAGTCCATTGCAGAGTGCTTAAGACATGATTGAGCGATCGATCCTCTTTTTCTCGTATCTTTAGGTTTAAAGATTCTCGCAATCTTTATCCAATCAGCGTTTGCGATTGTGTCGGCTCACGTATAAAAGGCGAATCCAACTCAATCCATGCAGGGGTATATGAGGTACTCGAATAGAGAGCTCATGAAATCTGAATTTATATGCACATGGTCAATGTTTACACATGTTTGGAGTTATTGAAGAAAATGTAATATGGGTGTGGTTCCGAATTTGAAGTCATTGCTGGAAAATATGATTTTAATACGTGAAATTATATCTATAAATATAGCACTAAAAATAACAGTACACATGAAGTACATGTATGATTGTGTTTAGAAATGATTGAAACCCTTACGGAAAATTCTGTCTGCATTTTGTCACCATTGCTCTTTCTTCCCGCATTCTAGTGCTGTTTGAATGAATATATTAATTAATGTATTTCTAACTAAAACATATCACTTTTTTTTTATAAACCACAAACATTTAAACCTGCACATCGCTCCAAAACGCAATATGTTGACATATATTGTTTTTACATTTTCAAGCTCTAATATAAAGTTTATGTAAATAAAAATTGTTTTTTTCTGCGTAATATCAAAGAACAATCATTTAGTTAAAAAAATAAAAAGGCGGATGCGGGATTCGAACCCGGGCCTCCCGCGTGGTAAGCGAGGATTCGGCACGTGTGCGGTGATCACCTACTTGACATGTATCAATATAACATGCCCATGTTACAATCCCATAGATAGGTGAACATATTTCGTGATGATTTCTGTAACATGCAGACAAATGTGGCTTTGGTAGGCTCGCACATGTGTAGAAAGCGCAACCAACATGTAATATCACGCGTACATACGTAATGTACCCTGATCATGTTTTGGTGTAGCAAGCGTAGTTGGCGTAGGCCTAGGGTGAACCATGACAGTGTGTGAGTATACCTACAGACTCATGTTTTGGTGTATCAGGCGTAGTTGGCGTAGTCAACACAGTACATACTATGAAGTGGTCATTTTCAATCAAATACTCGTAGCAGACGTAGCTGTACCCAGGGTACACATGGCAAAAACATTGGTCTCTAGGTATACATCCACACTGTCATGGTCCAACCTAGGTATAGCTACGTCTGCTACGGGTATTTTATTGCAAATAACCACATGATAGTATGTTGACTACGCCAACTACGCTTGCTACACCAAATCAGTGGTCTATAGGTATACATACACACTGTCATGGTCCACCCTAGGTATAGCTACGTCTGCTACGGGTATTTTATTGAAAATAACCACATCATAGTATGTTGACTACGCCAACTACGCTTGCTACACCAAAACATTGGTCTATAGGTATACATACACACTGGCATGGTCCACCCTAGGTATAGCTACGTCTGCTACGGGTATTTTATTGAAAATAACCACATGATAGTATGTTGACTACGCCAACTACGCTTGCTACACCAAAACAGGGGTCTATAGGTATGCATGCACACTGTAGGGCCCACCCTAGGTATGTCTACGCTTGCTACACCAAAACATTGGTCTATAGGTATACATACACACTGTCATGGTCCAACCTAGGTATAGCTACGTCTGCTACGGGTATTTTATTGCAAATAACCACATGATAGTATGTTGACTACGCCAACTACGCTTGCTAC